TACATTGGGTAATAATATGAGTATACAAATGACTTTAAACGATATTTAGCGGAATTATCACCATTTTTTACCAAATTTTTTCCCAAATTTTTTATCTATTTTTTGTAAGGGGAACCCGCTTGAAGGCCATTGGTCATTGGATGTGGTGTAGTACGGTAGAGGTTATTTTTGTGAATTTGTTTGTAGGTTTTTAACTTTTTTAAGTGTGTAGGGTTGTAACGCGTGTTTGTGTATGTGTGGCAAGGATATTATGTTGCTAAAAATTCCGGGTGGTTACCCATCCGGGAGCTAGCAACTGCGGCCGGTACGTACACTCAGTGCGTTTCCGCAGATTGAACGTACGACCGCTCCTCACCAAGCCACATTATTTATATTATACAGTTATAAAAACTTATGAGGAACTTTTGAACTTTAGCTACCTATGAATATTAAAAAAATATTTGCATGTTTTTGTAATTTTCATAAATTTCGTCAATATTCTAACTAAACGTTTAAACGTTCATACAAAAATATTTTGACTAGGTACATTTATTTTCGATAATTTTTAAATTTTATATAAAAACTTATGATAAACTTTCAGCCTTGTATTTTACTATCAAACTTGTTGACGAGCAACTTAATATTTATAAACATTTAAAAAAATCAAGTGTCAAATGTCTATATTAGATAACTCAAAAAGCATTATATCAACGTTTTTATCATGTGTGCCGTGTGGAAAATTCTTATCGTAACATTATCATATGAAAATGTTAAGTATTTATAGTTATTCGTTTTTAAGTTATACTTATGTAACAACATTGTTTTTTTCAAAAACTGGTTTTTGTTTTTATTGATTATTTTGAAAAATGTAGATTTAATTTATAGTATTTAGACATTTCAAAATCTCCAAATTGATCCAATTTACTATCAGACATTCAGAAACCACCCTCAAAGTTGAAAATCAAGGTATTTTTTCAACTAGTTATGTGTATATAGACACAAAAAATAAAATTATAAAAACTATTATAATTATTATAAGCTCTAATCACAGTATAATCAATACACTCATCACTCCGTTCAGAATTTAAAAATAAAATGAAAAATTTGTTTAACAATCAA